TCACTGGCAAAAAATAAGGCCCCAGGAATTGATAGAATTACCATTTAGCATGTTTCAGCTAATAGATGCAGCCATGAATGTGCTCACTAGTATAGGCCAGGAAATTTGGAGGACAGCTGCCTGGAAGAGATCTGTATTTGTTCCCATTCCCAAGAAAAGTGGCCCAACAGAATGTGAAAATTATAGAATTATATCAGTAAGCAAGCACAGTATTGCTGAAGGTCATCCCAAAACGGCTAGAATAGTACATCGACCGGGAACTGTCAAAAGTTCAGGCGGAGTTTAGAAGATGCCAAGGCACCAGGGAGAGCATTGCAGATGTCAGATGGATTCTAGGTAAAATCAGTGAGCAGAAGAATGTCTGTGTTTTATTGACTGTGCAAAGGCATTTGACTGTGTGAATCATAACAAACTATATGATTAACTTTGAGAAGAATGGGAATCCCAGAACATTTAATTGTGCTCGTGAGAAATCTATACCTAGATCAAGAAGCTGTTGTCTGAATGGAACAAAGGAACAGTGGTTGGTTTAAAATCAGAGAGGGTGTGTGTCATACCTATTCAATCTGTATGCTGAACAAATCATTGGTGAAGCTGACCTCTATGAAGAGGAATGTACTACCATGATTGGAGGAAAACTTATCAACAACCTATGTTATGCAGATGACACAAAAAAGTGAGGAGGTCTTGAAACACTATAGAAGATTGAGATCAATCTTCAATATGGTTTACATCTCAACATCAAGAAAACAAAGATCCTCACACGTCAGTCAACATCAGCATAGATTGACGCTGATAATGATTTAATCATACTTGGATCAGCTATCAACACCTTTGGTACCAGCAGTCAGAAAATCAGGAAACATTGGACAAATCTGCTATCAAGGACCTTTCCAAAATACTTAAGAGTAATGATGTCTGTTTGAAGACTGAGGTACACCAGATTGAGGCCATGGTCTTTCCAGCCACCTGCTGTGCATTGGAGAGCTGGGCAGTTATGATAGAAGAAAAATTGATGCCTTTGAGTTGTGGTGTTAGAGAAGAGTACTGAATATCCTATGGACTGTTAAAAGAACAAAGAGATATATGTTTGAAAAAGTACAGCCAGAGTGTTCTTTAGAGGTGGAAATGACAAAGCTTTGTCTCTCATACTTTGGGCATGTTGCTAGGCAAGACTATTTCTTGGAAAGAGATCCATGCTTGGAAAGATGGAGGATCAGCAAAGAAGAGGAAGAGCCACAACAAGGTGAATTGATAAAGTTAGTGCAGCAAGGGGCTTAAGTGTGTCAGAGACTATTAGGATGGCAGAGGATAAGACAGGGTTCAGATCTGTTGTTCTTAAGGTCACTATGAATCATATTCAACTTGATAACATTGAACAACATTCTGCTTTCTAACATAGATTTGACACGTGACATTGCTTTCATTTCCATCTGCATTCATGCTCTTTTATGACAATAGCTCTATAATTTGTTAACACTGGAATTGAAAATAATAGTAGCACTGCACTGCCTGAATCTTTAGTAAAATAGTAAGAACTCAAGCAGTAACAGCAGCAGCAGCAGTGCTATTTTTTAATCTCCCATGTGAGGAATCGCTTTCCCAAGATGTTAATATATTTGACATTATATTACTTGTTATTAATCTTTATATTTTCTGGTTATTCACAAATTCGCTTCATAATCTGTTCTCAGATGTGACTGAATATTTATATGAAGTTTATAGATATATAGTTTCTGAGTTGTACGTGCTTCTCTGAGCCCCAAGAATTAAAGCAGTCCTAACCCAGGCAGGCCATGCTTACTTTTTGAGCACTTTTTCCCAGATTCTAGGTACCAGGGTTGTAGTTATCCTAGCCAAGGCCTTTAGCAGATGGAATGAAATACTTCATGTTTTTGAAGATCTGACTGGCTTAAAGTCTTTCCTGTTCACCAGACTTGGGTTTCAGTTCTTTATTCTCTTCTGCATTAAAGAAGATAAGCAAAATTCAGGTTGGGCAATTTGCCTTCTCTCTGTGATTTCTCAACCTTAACAACATCCTTTCTGCATGATGATTCTCTCAGTTCTTTTTTCTGTTTAAAAAATAGTATGCTGTTGTGGGGACTAGAAAACCAAGCCAAACCCATTGTCACAGAGTGAATTCCTGCTTGTAGTCACCATATAGGTCAAAGTAGAACTGCCCACCAGGTTTCTAAGGCTTTAGAGCTTTTTATGGGTTTTGTTTCGAGCTTTTTTTTTTTTTTTTTTCATTTGTTTAGTTGAGTGAAAGTTTACAGATCATAATAGTTTTTAATTCATTTACACATTTTGTTTTATTACATTAGTTACTATTAATATATCATAATCATGATGTCCAGTCATCCCTTCACTCAGTTTACCTAGTTAGTAATTTTTACTACTCTCTCCTTCCCTTCCCATTCCTGTTTTTACTTTCATGTGCCATAGACTACTACTCTTAGTGACCCTTTGAACAACAGATCTGAACCCTGTCCTATCCTGTGCCATCCTTACAATCTCTGACGTACTTGAGCCCATTGCTGCAGTCACTGTGTCAGTCTGTCTGACTGAAAGTCTTTCACTGACCCCTCTACCTTTCTAAGCATGATGTCCCTTTCCAAGGTATAACCTTTCCTCACAACTCTTGTAACCATAAAGGCTGTAAATCTTCACAGGAGCAGACTGTCTTATCTTTCTCCCACAGAGCAGCAGAGTGGTAGGTTCAAATCAATTCACATCCACTCCATCACCAGAACTCATTATTTTACAGACAGCACTAGTTTAAAAAATGCTAGACCTGGCTTCTAATTCTTACTCCATCTCCTAATAGCCACGTGATACTGGTTAGATAGCTCCTTGTGCTTCAGTAGTCTAATCTATCAAAAAGAAACAATTTGTCAACTTTCAAAGAGCTGTCATGAGACAGTAGGTGTTGTACAATATAAAGCAAGAGAGTAATTTATTTTAATGTAGCTGAAATTTCTTTTGCTGTCATAACAAAAAGCATTTTTTGTAAGCCTTAGTATTTGTAGTTTGCTCATCATTCTAGTAGTGTCTGTGTTTTGCTCTTTTCTTCTGTTCATACCAGCCCCCTTACCTCCTTTCCATGGGAGCCCTGTTGGCATTGGAGGCTAAGCATTGTAGGCTAGTCATAAGATCTGTGGTTCAAGCTTAGCAGCCACTCTGACAGAGAAAGAAGAGTTAGTCTACTCCCGTGAAGATTTACAACCTCTAAAACAGTACAGAGTAGTTTTAACATCTTCTATAGGGTCACTATGATCAAGATGAACTAATGGTAGCAGGGTTTAAACTCATCTGCAGAGAGTGATACTGTGACCACATTAGATGCTTCACTCATTTTTTATCCTTGGCATTATTAATAGATATATAGATAGCATTTAGAATGATCCCCTTCTTGGGAGCTGTTTTACTCATCTATCTGTGTCAGGCATTTTTTTTTAACATTTTGAACTGTGCTTTCCTAAAAAATATGACACATCCGTCACTCTGCCAAGGACTCTCTTGCAGTTAGAAATCCTTTATGATGAGATCACTTTTCCCCATTGTTCTGGATTGAATTATGTCCCCTAGAAATATGTGTTGTAAATCCAACCTCTGTGCCTGTGGTTATAATCCCATTTGGGAATGGATTATCTTTGGTATGTTAATGAAGCAGAATTAATCTGTGTGTGTATATGCGTGTACATATGTAAATCATGGATACAGGCATGATACATTGCACTGAACTTCATTTTATTGGAGTTTGTAATGATTTTTTTTTTTAACAACTTGAATATTTTTGTGGAAACCCTGTTATTTGAGCAGGTCTATCTATGCTACTTTTCCAACAGCATGTGCTCACTCTGTGTTGCTTTTGATAATTTTCCCCAGTATTTCACACTTTTTCGTAATGCTTTTGCACGCTTAATAGACTAGTGTAAATGTAACTTTTATAAACAAATAATTTTACTTTACTGTAGTATTTGCTTTATTTTAGTAACCTAGAAACTGATACATGGCTGTACATCTTTTGTAACTGAGTTGAATTTTTTTTTATTTCTATGAAAATGTCAGTTATGTGTCTTTTTTGTTTGTTTTAGTCTTTTCTCCATTTTTGTCAAAACTCAGTTACTTAATTATGCAATAAAGATATTTGATCTTCAGCTTTCAGGCATTGAGGAACTGTGCTAGGGATATTGTTTTGAACAGAAGACTCTTCTTCTAAGTGTTCCTGTCTGCCTTAGGATTTTCTGTTAGAAACAAGAATAAGACCAAAAAATATTTTAAAAAACTGTAATACACTCTTAACATTTAAAAGATAATACCTAGTTAGTATCAAATATTGACTCTCTTTTAAAAATTCTTTCTAGGTTGAATTCATTTCAGAGAGCAACAGCTTTTTTCAGTGGATCCATTCATCAAGTGAATGTTACAAAATCTTTGGACTTCATTACAGAAAAATTTATATACCAAAAGGAAAATGAGTACGTGATTGAAGTTATGGACATTTGAGGTTTCCCATGCAGTCAGTGGATTGAAGGATGAGTGCTAAATAGATTAATCCTGTGGACTTACTATTTTTAAAATCAAGAGTATATCATCTTGAGAGCACAACCAACATTTACTCAACATGTATTTTATGAAAATAAAGGAGAGAGACAAGAACAAAATTAAAAGAAGGTAGATGAAGACCATCATCTCTTCGAATGAAGATAACCCAGTGATGTTAAATCCTTTGCAGAATCCTGCTTGTGGTCCTAAAGACAAGACTCTTTTTTGATGGGACCAGTGTTAAGGGGAAAGGGAGCTTGTGGATATACAACTCCCACTTGAAGAAGTGACAGTCATTGGCATGAGTGACTCAAAAAAGGAAATAAAGAAACTTTTACCTGAATGAAAAAAAAAAGTCTTTTTTTTTTTTTAACCACTGTAACTTAAAAAGCTTCTTTATAACCATTTGGGGGAAAAATTGATAACAGTTTTATAAAAGTAAAGAAAGGCAGATGTCCGCAAACAGTTCCCCTCCATCATCCCAGAAGTCTGTATTGCCTGCAACTCTTCCTGCTGTGCTTCCAACCCCTTCTCCATGTTCAAGTCCTAAGACCGGACTCTCTGCCCGACTGTCCAATGGAAGCTTCAGTGCGCAGTCACTTACCAACTCCAGGGGCTCCGTACACACAGTTTCATTTCTACTGCAGATTGGCCTTACACGGGAGAGTGTTGCCATTGAAGCCCAGGAGCTCTCATTATCTGCTGTCAAGGATCTTGTGTGCTCCATTGTTTATCAAAAGGTACTGTACATAATGTTTATGTTGATAGTTTTCTCATTAGTATTGTTTTTAATGCTTCTCTGTACATATAGCTGTTAGTAAACATATATGAATAAAAATGTAATTAATTTGGAAAAAAAGGGAAAAAAGTAGTTAATGTCCTGATCCTGAATATTTTTAGGAGCATCTTGATAGAGCTAGTATGTTAAAATCTGAAAGTATAAATTGTAACATGTTGTTGTTGTGTACCATAGAATTGGAACCAACCAATAGCTAACCCTCTGGCAGGTTTACAGAGGCAGTTAATTGTAGGGGCGGAGATTGCTCATCTTTCTCCTGTGGAGAAGCTGGTGGGATTCAAACTATGTGCCTTTAGGATTGCAGTGCAGCTTCTTGCCACTAGGCCACAAGAGCTCCCTAAACTGTAGCATGTTCTTGTAGTGTACCATAGAGTTGGAACTGACCCATAGCTGACCTTCCAGTGGGTTTTCAGAGGCAGTTAATGACACAGGAGAAGATTGCCCATCCTTTCCACAAAGCACCTGGTAGCCTTGAACCATGTGCCTTCAGAATTACAGCACACCTGTTTGCCACTAAGCCACCAGAGCTCCCTAAACTGTAGCATATGGAACTTATATTCCAGATTCCGTTTTTAATTCAGTTATCAGTAGGCACAGATTAAGAATACTCTTTATGCTGTTTGTCTCTTTAAGACATGCAAATTTAAATAAAGTCGGTTAGATATCAGAGTCTTACTTGTTTCCAGAGAAAACATGTATGAGCTAGAGAAAACTAGAGGATGGCATTAAGGTAACATACAAAAATGGTAGGATGGATACACACACACACACACACACACACACGATAGGACACAGAGGCTAAGTCCCAGGTTTATTCACTATTCTTACTAGGTTTCTTCTGCTTTATACTTTGCTTTTAGTTTTTTAAAAAACTAACATCTTATTGTGCTTTAGGTGAGCCTTTACATGGCAAATTAATTTTCCATTCTGTAATTGATATACAAATTGCTTTGTGACATTGTTTTAATCTCTACAGTATGTCAGTACTCTCCCCATATCCACTCTCGGTTCCTAGTTTCCTTTCACCTTCTTTTCTCCTGCCACTTCCTGACTTTTCTTTGCTTTTAGGCAAATGCTGCCCATTTAATCTTTTAAAATTGTTGTAAAGAATTTATTCCTCGTGGATCTTATTATTAGTTTTGTAGATCGATCTATTACTTGGTTGAGAGGTGGTCTAGGAGTGTGTTCCATTCCATTTTAGAGTGATAACGTAAGGAAATAGTCTCTGGATTTTCTAGTCTTTTAGATCAGTTAAGTGTAGGGGTATTTTGTTGTGTTTTTTTATGAATTTACATTTTCTACATTTTCCCTGGGACCTTTCCTCGTGTCCTTGGTCAGAATACCTGTAGTGAAAGCGGGCATCTTCTGGCCTTATGCTAGAGAAAGGCCATGATTCACATAGCTGTGAATTTTCTTGGGTTTTCTTCATTATGCTTTTGCCCTGTGTAAGAAGAGACTAATGGTTGTAACCTACCTGGACACTCAAGCTTTTATGGCCCCACATGCTACTCATAAAACTAAATTGTCAAACAGTGACTTTATGTAACTGGTCCCCTAAAACTGTGATCCTTACTCTTCAAGCCCCATAGTTCAATCATAAGAATGTTTGGTTGTGCCTGTGATGTTTCTGTAGCTATGGCCCCTGTGTGGTCTACTATGTATATGTCTTCTTTCCCTCTAGACACTGATTTTGCTTTTCAGGGAAGATGTTCCAGATCCACTTTCAAGAGAGACAAACACTTTAATATAGACAAACACTGTTCTTTGTATTATTATTATTATTATTTTATTGTATACTGGTTTGCTTACAAAGTTCATATACATTGTTTTTCACATCAGATCTTTCCCTTACTCATCCCTCTCTCCACCTATCAAATTGTGCAACTCTATGATCAATCCCCCGCCCACCCCCACCCCCTCATCCCCGTCCCCTTGCATCTCAATATCAAGAAAACAAAGATTCTCATCACTGGACCAATAGGCAGTGTCATGATGGATGGAGAGGAGATTGAACCTGTCAGCAGCTTCATCTTCTTTGGAGCCAAAATTAACACTCTTAGTACCAGCAATCTGGAAATAAAGAGACGCATTGCACTGGAAAAATCTGTAGTTTCCAAATTATTGAAGAGTAGTGATGTCAGTTTGAAGACTAAGGTGCTTTTGATTCAGGCCATACTCTTTCCGATTACTAGCTATGCATTTGAGACCTAGACAGTGAATAAGGATGACAGAAAAAGAATTGATGCTTTTGAGCTATGGTGTTGGGAAAGAGCACTAAATATCCCATGGACGGGCAAGAGAACAAACAGATAAGTCTTGGAGATGGTGCAGCCAGAATGATCTTTGGAGGCAGGAATGGCCAGGCTTTGCCTCACATACTTTGACATATTGCTAGGAGGTACTAGGCTTTGGAGAGGGACCTCATGCTTGGGAGGTGAAGGGGCAGCAGAAGCAAGGAAGACCCTCAATCAGATGGATTGATTCAGTGACTGGGGTAATGGGTGTAGGTGTGTCAGAGACAATAAAATTGACACAGGATAAAGCAAGGTATGTTATACATAGGGTCGCCCTGAGTTGTAAGCAACCTGACAGCCCATAACAACAACAACAGAGGCTGTTGGGTTATATTGTTCTTTTTCTATTTGACAAATGTTTGTTAGAGAATTCATTTTGCTTTCCTTATTTTTATGTGACAGTGTTCTTATGGATTTGCCATTTTTTCATAAGTGTGTAGGCTGTGTGAATTGATTACATTGAATTTTTTAAAATTTATAGTAAAACTTTAATTCCATTATAATTTCTTGAAACAGTTTAAAATTAAGCCTTGCCTTGATACAAGAAAAAATTGGCCATTTAAAACCTCTAACAGCTGTTGACACCTAACATTTTACCCATTATAAATATACCTAGTTAGAGATAGAAGAGATATATCAATGTACAAGACTCAAATTGCATGCAGTTATAATGATAAGCTTTCATAATATATAGCTGCAACTGATTGAGGGCTATACAAATGTTGAGTTTTTCCTGAGAAATTCATTGCTGCCTTGTTTAAGTCAAAAGATTATGTGAAAACACTTGAGCCTCATATTTCTTTCTCTTACACTAAAGATAGTTGAAGTTTGAGATTTCTAGTTCTTCAGGGGTTCAAGCTATTATCAGACTAGGATTTGTGGGAAGTACTCAACACAACCAATCCCAAGTTTGGCAACCATCTACAAACTGGCACCTACAACTAAGCCCTACAGGCATAAATTTTCCAGAGTTATAGAATCTCATTCCCATGATGGCAGCCAAGGTTCCAGACATAGCTAGGAAAACCCAAGTGTTCCCGGGATCCTGAGAGAGCTGGTAAGCACCCAGGCCTGCCAATTCCCCACAGAAAAGCCCAGCAGCCAGAGATGGGACGCTGCCTGCTTTTGCATAGCCAATGATCCCACCAGAGGCAACCAGTGCTGCATAACCAAAGCCAAGCCAGTGGATGGGCACTAGTATTCCAGGCTCCTTCTGCATTGTTGTCATCTCGCTTTGTTGAACTGAGAGAGGACACTATGTCTGAACCTGAACCGCTCTGCAGAGGTCAGTTCCAGTGCACAAGCAAAGAGAGGCCTGGGGCAGGACTTCTTGCCTTGCCAGAGAACGGTTACATTGAGTTCTTAATGAACTAAAACTATATTCCAAACAAAATATGTCTTTTTTTTTTAAATTATATCTTTCTTGGTGGCAGTGGTGTTGTGTAGCATATAGTCAGAACTGAACCATAGCTGACCCTCCAGTGAGTTTTCAGAGATAGTAAATCACACAGGAATTGATTTTACATTCCTTCTGTGGAACAGTTGATGCATTCGAACGACATACCTTTGGCTGTACAATTCCTTAACACCAGAGCTCCCTTATCTCACTTAGATGAATATATTCCAATCAGTCTCTTCATTATATTGTTTTAGTTGCTATACTTTCTATGGATTGTCTTTCTCCTCAGATGTACAAGTAATTAACAATTTAAAAAATTTGTGAAAATAATCCATGCTTCCTATGTTTTATAAGTGACTCATTTAATTGTAGTCTAAAATAAGAATTAAATTCAATTTAAAAATCATCTTATGAGTAAATTTGTCACACTGGACAATAATTACCAAAGATCAGATGACTGTGGAATGACATCAAGCACATCATTCATGAAGAAAACAAGGGTCATTAAAGACAGGAATGAAAGAAAAGACCAAAATGAATGTCAGAAGAGATACTGAAAGTTATATTGTAATCGAAAGAAGCCAAAACAAGGTGGAGGAGTGCTGAGGTAAGAGAGCTGAACAAAAGATTTCAGAGGGTAGCTCAAAAAGACGTGGTATTATAATGAAATGTGGAAGGAGCTGAAGTTAGAAAACTATGAGGGAAGAACTTACTCAGCATTTCTCACTAAAAGAAACAAAATTTAAGCCTTGTGTTGCTATACTGAAAGGTTCTACAGGCAAAATCTTGAATGATGTAGGAAACATCAAAAGAAGATGGAAAAAGTATACAGTCACTCTGTCAGAGAGAGTTGATTGACACCAAAACATTTCAGGAAGTATCATATGATCAAGAATTAATAGTACTGAAGGAAGAAGTCCAGGCTGCTCTAAAGGCATTTGCAAAGTAACCAGGCCTCAAGAAATTGATTAAGGTGTTGCAAGAAACAGATCCAACCCTGGACATGCTCACCAGTTTCTATTAATATATAGGAAGACACCTGCCTAACCAGGTGACAGGAAAAGATCAATATTTGTTCCAAATACAAAAAGTGGTCCAACAGAATGTAGGGAACTCTGGTGGCTTAGTTGGTAAAGAGTTATACTGCCAACCCAAAGGCAAGCAGTTCAAATTCACCAACTTCTCCATGGAAGATGGTCATTCTCCTCACATGTGATTGCAGCGTCAGTTAAAAAGTATGTTCTAACT